CGGGGTTCTTTGTTTTGGGGGCTGCCCTATGCCTTATTGGAAGTTTAGCAGCACCACTTGCCTCTACCCACTACAGACCTACCTAATTCCTTCCCACGTTATAACAAGCAAAACTGTCTCCAGATGTTGGCAAAGGTCCCCTACAGAGCAAAACTGCCCCCAGTTGAGAACCACTACCCTAAGGTGGGCGGGGGGGGGTGCCTAGATGACGGGCACTGAGGGGTGCACTTGACGGGATGAGCACTGGGTGTCATGCTATATGTTGGCAAATCAATCTCCAATAAAAAAATACACAAAAATAAAAAAAGAAAAAGAGAGAACCACTGCCCTAGATGGTCTTTAAGTGTCTTGCTTGCTGGAAACCTTCTTTGATTATTTTAGACACTGTGCCTCAAGTCTGAGTTTTAGGTCCAGTAATGCAGAGGGAAGCACCTATGGCATACCCAAGTCTCATCAGTATTTTCATTATTCATTAAGCAAAAGATGAAAATCAATGAATAAAATAAACTGAATTTTCAGAGAAAACTTCGGGATATGTGACACGGATATGAAACAAAAAATTCAAGTAGATACAATCGTCATTTAAAAACTAATAATAACTGGCTTTGGACGGTTCCACCTTTAGTTAAGACAAATGAAATGCTGCAGATACGTTCAATTGCTTTCTAGTTTGAAATCAACTTACAGAAAAAAAAAACACATGGATTTTTTTTTTTTGGCAATGCCACATTTTTATTTAAAAAAAAAAAGCCTAGTGTTTTCTCTTCATAAGAAATACAAGGAAATTTTTCTAAAAGAGGTATTTTATTCTTCTGCACTAACAATACTACAACCAATCTTATGAAAGACAAATTAGCCACATCTTTACTATCTATCTTTCTAAATATAGTGTCTTATTTTTATTTGCCATTTTATTAACAAGAACTCCCTAATATCTGACACTACCATACTTTTGAATTAAAATTATCTATGCTCATGCTAATGACTTGCTACTGTAAGATCCTGACATCTTTTGAATTAAAAAGAGTGACAAAAAAAGATTCAATACGGTTTTAGATTCATGACTCTTTGAAAATCAGTAGTTCTCCCATATACAGAAAGCCATTTATTAACCAGGATGTTTCATTAACATCAACATTCTACACCTGCCACACACTACGTGTTCAACAAATGCAGGGCACCATTATCATTACTCACAACCATGCCAGAAAATAGAGGGATTTTTTTCCAAATTACCAGTTTGGTTTTACAGCAACTACAAAGTACAAAGTATGAAAGAGGAGGCTATCACACGATAAATTAATATTCTGAGCTCTCAAACCTTGTAACATGCCTCACCTTCATTTTAATATTTGTGTCTTTTCACGTGCTCAAATAGGTCCAAATTAAATCACCCTACCCCAATCCTCTTCCACTGCCACCACCCTTTATTTTTTTTAGAGATTTTATTTATTTATTCGTGAGAGACAGACAGAGAGAGAGACAGAGGCAGAGGGAGAAGCTGGCTCCCCGTGGCACAGGGAGTCTGATGCGGGACTCAACCCAGGACCCTGGGATTCTGACCTGAGCCAAAGGCAGATGCTTAACCAACTGAGACACCCAGGTGCCCGCCACCACCCCCCCTTTAAATGCTCCTTTCATAACTGCAGATATTACGACAACTACTAGGTAGTGGTCCAAGCTAGCTGGTGCACACAGGTGTCAAATCCCTGAGCTGGGTTCAACCAGCATAATGTCCTAACAAACTGATCCTTGATAGTGAAAGAGGTGAACGCAGTCCTGCTCTACAGGGACAGCTGAAATGAGGGGTCTTTCCACCATGCCAACACGACCCTGCAGGCCTTTATTGGAAAAGTCAGGAAAGGAGACTGGGCTAGAAGTTAGGATCCCAGTTCTCTTTACGCTGCAGAAGATTTAAGTCCTAACACCTTCTACCCTTGATCTTTTAGAATACTGAACTCTTGAGGTACTCTCCAGCTTTAAAATTCTGTGAGCCTTTGAGTCTTTCTTTAAACCAGATTATGCAATTAAATTTATGTTTAAAAAAACACACAGGAGCCCTTTTTCACAGACTTTAGGAAAGAAAGTGGATTTAGCTTGAATTAGCAACTGTAAAACACGAAGTTACTTTTATTTTTCTAAAAGATATCAAAGCTCATTTTATCTTGCGAGAGGTGGGTTGCCAGAGATCATGAACTGAGTGGGGTATTATTACAAAGTGTAATTCAAGCCTATGTCTGTAAGTAAGGACTACTAGGAAGGACGTGAGCTTTTTTTGATCATATTTTCGAAACAAATAGTTTATGAAGTGATTAATGTGGCCAAGATCAATTCACCAGTTTGTGGATGTCTCTTTCCCAATGCCTGTCCCTCACCTCAATCCTGTATCTCCCTAACAAATTAGGATTAAGAACACTGTATGATCTCCCAGTCATCCACAATTGGCTTCAAGACTTGAAGTCATTTTGCTAATTCTAGCAGATTTATTTATCCAACACCTGATGAAATGCACATATGTACACAAATGAATCCATCATCTAGATGCTCCATTTATATTGAGATTAAAAAAAAAAGTCAAAGGACTAGTCCATTTACTATGATGTCTATCCATATTTGTAAAGAAATAGAACCAAAATGTATAAGACTCCCTAAGAAGAGGAAGGCATAAGGGGGTAAACATACTTCTGCAAATTCTAAAGAGATCTATAAATTGCAATCGGAGAATTTATTAAACTAAGCTTCTTAGTATAGAAATCCCCAAAACTCTCCAACTGGGAAGCTAATTGAGAGTAAGAAAGAGCCAAAATGATTTCCCTCTTTCTCTCATTCATCACAGGCAATATAGAAACCCTTGCTCAATATGATAATGTGACTCTTGTCAATGCATGTTCAAATCAGATAGAGGATTGGCTGGTGATGATGTCATCCCCATGGGTTAATCCCCAGTGAATGCAGTTTTAATATCATATGCATCAACACGTCATTTACATAACAAAGTATTATATTAAGTGTAACAATAAATGAGCTGTGCAGATAAAAGCAGCTATTAGAGAAAGGCTATGTGCCACTGAAAAGGAGTTAGGGGGACAAAGACTTTTTTTTAGACTAAATGGAACTAGGTCATCAAACAATACACATCTCTAAAAAAAGCAAAAAATGAATATTGAAATTCAAGTGACCTAGAACATTCTAGTACTAGAAATATGGAAATGTTGCCTCCAATGAAAAATATTCGGTAATTAAGTAGAGATATTTGTGAGGTTTTTGTGTGTGTTTGGGAGACAAGTTAAAAAAAAATTAAAGTCCTTGAAAAATAAGTGAACTAGCAGCTCTTGCTTTTCTGGGAATAGCAACTTTCTTATCTTTAACAGGGAAAACTGGCCAAGTCAAATCGTGACTTAAAACCCTGTAATAAATTTTAAAGTGTCAAAGGTAGTTAAAATGGCACAGAGGGAAGGCAGAAAAGTCACACAAAGCAGAACAATGAGCAGAACTGACGGAGGAAACCTTGAAATACAGCTTTATGAGATTACTGGTCAAGAAATGTCCACACATATGAAGAAAGCTTTTTGCACAACTGAGCAATGCCAACTCGCCCGGTCAGTTTGGGAGGACGTAAGTCATCATTAGTCACGATGATTCTGAAAAACCATTCTCTTGCTGCCTTATTAAGATCTGTATTTCCAATCCAGAGCAAGTGTTAGGCTTATGCACTAGATTTATGACTACAAACTTAGCAGAAGTGCTTGTCACTGTAAAACCCACAGCGAGCTGTTGAAGAATTTTTTAAGTCATACATCTGTTCAAGAATGACCAAGTGGAAAACACTGATTATATTGTGATTGGGCAAGTGTGGGTGTCTGGGTGTTGCAGGTGGAATTTTCGGGTTGGTGTGGATAATCCCTACATCAAGGATATTAGAGAAAGAAGCTGACTAAGGGCTTTGAACACGCCCATCCCCACACACCGGGATCGCCTGTCACATCACATCAACCTTGCTAGTCTTGGAGGGACGGCCATAGAAAAGTTAAATGGGAAAGAGTACAGGGATGCAGATGCTTCACCAAGGGCTTCACCAAGGGGAGAGTCGGGGGCTTATTAAATCCCGGTTGGGGTGCAGGGATGTGGGCACCTGGGTACTTCTCAGCATGAACCTGCGCGTGTACACCTTCCTGGGAGGTGAATCATAGCTTGGCTGAGGCTCTCAGCGGCAGCCGTGGAACCCCCAAAACGTTCAATGATACCGATTCAGGAGCAAAACGCACCGGCAGCTCGGGCTGCCTGCCCAGGCGCGGGAGGATATCAGTCCCTCTCCCCGTCCCATCCTTCCCAAGCCAGGAGTGGAGGGTTAACGGTGCCCTCCCTTGCAGGAGCCGGGTGCCAAGGCAAATGAGGCACCAGAAGGTTTGAAAAATAGGGGAAGAAGCGACGGAGACCCTCCGGCCTGGCGGGCAATCGCGAGGTGCTGCACTTCGAGACCCCCTGGAGTTTTCCACTTGGGCGGGAAGCTTAGCGCTTCGGCCGAAAGCTGTGCCCCGGGGGCGCGCAGCGTCCTTACAGCCGGAGCCCCGCAGCCAGGACCCCAGGCGCAGGCTAAGCGGGCTCCCAGCGGGTCCTGGCTCAGACCCACGGGCTGAACCCCAGGCTGCGAAGCCACTGCTCACTCCGAGCCGGTGCGCCCCCTCCCCACAGCCTTGCATCAAGCGGCCCCTCGCGCCTCCAAGGGGCACCCCTTGGGATCTCTGAGAGGCAGACACAAACCCCAAAGTTGGCAGCCGCCCCAGCTCCACTTAGGAGCGCCGCTCCCAACTTCGGGGCGCAAGCCACCCACCGCAGCGGAGCGTCGGAATGAGGGGGGCTGCCCTGAGCCAAGTCGGGATCAGCCTGAGGCGGCTGCCGCGCCCTGGAGACAGTCTGAGCACTGGGGGGGGGGGGGTCCAGACAAGCGCACCCCGTCTTCCCGCCCCCCCTCCCTCCTCTGCCCTGCCAACCCTCCTTACCGGAGAGAGCCGCAGCGTCCGGGACTCAGGGCCGGCGCGCGCAGGTGGAGGCACGGACCTCCGCTCCGAAGCCGGAGGATGCTCACCGCGCCACCTCCCCGCGGGCGCCCCGGCAGTGGCCCATCGCCCCCCGCAGGCTCTCCGCGCGAGTTCCCAGGTCTCTCCGAAGCTGCCGCAGCAGCGCAGGTAGGACTCCGGGCCCCGGGTCGGGCGCAGCCTGGCGCGCACGGGGCGGCGAGCGGTGCGCGGTGGAGCCGGCGGGCGTTGGGGCGCTCGGGCGGGGAGGGGCCCGGAGGGGCCGGGAGGGGCCGGGCGCCCCGCGGGCCGCGCTGATTGGCCGGGCGCACGGCTGCCCCTGCCCCGGCGCCCCGGAGGTCCACGTGGGCCGGCCCCCGGCCCCGCCCCGCTCCCCCGCTCGGCTCGCGGCGCCTCTCCCGAGCGCCCCGCGGTGGTCGCCGCCCGGCAGGTGCTGCGCAAAGGTACCCTCCCGGAACACCTGAGAGCCGCGGGAGCCCGGTGGCATTCAGAGCTCGGCTCCCAACCAGAAGCGATCCCCACGCAGGGCGTCCCCATCCGAGGGCCCCAAACAGTTTGCAAACGAGGCTTCCTTAGCCGCCCTGGGGCTTCACTAACCTGCCCCTTACGTAACTTGCCTGCATGGGAGAGGAGGAGAATCCACGCGCGACGTCAACACCGGAATCCTTTCTTATTTTAAAAATTCTGGAAGTACAGCTCAGACTTGTTTGAGTCGCACTCTGTGCTAACCCTTCTCTAAGTGAAGTGACGCTAATCATCCGTGACGTTTATTTTTTTTTTAAGATTTTATTTATTGATGAGAGACACAGAGAGAGAGGCGGAGACACAGGCAGAGGGAGAAGCAGGCTCCATGCAGGGAGCCCGACGCAGGATTCGATCCCGGGTCTCCAGGGTCATGCCTTGGGCCGAAGGCTGACGCTAAACCGCGGAGCCACCCGGGCTGCCCTCATCTGTGACATTTTACACGAGAATACTTCGTGTGATGTCCATTCTACAGATAGGAAAACTGAGGCACAAAGAGGCTAATTTACTGAAGATCACAGCTCATCAGGGGGTGACTGTGTGTAATTTGAACCCGGGAAGGCTGGTTGCAGAATCCACTTTCTTTGCTATTCGCAGTGTAGTCTAGAAGAGGCCCCCCCTGGAGACTTTGTTAGAAATGCAGACTTTGAGACCCCACCCTGGAATCGGAAACTTCATTGGAACAAGATCCCCAGGTGGTTAGTTTATGCAAACAGTTTGAGGAGCGTTGCTCTACAGCACTATGCTGTTCCCTGTGGACGGTTTGCCTCACAAGCTTCTGATCCTTTTACTCTGCAGCGACATGAAATAATGCGTCATCCTGCCCCAGCTGCACTCCAAAGTATATTTGCCCTTCTCTGAGCCTGCTGCTTGAACGAAGGTATGGAAGCCTTTGTCTCTCTTCCCCATACCTTTATCCTCTGCACACACGTGTCCCATACCATATTGTCTTGTGTATCATGTAACACTTTCTATCCTTTGCTCTCTAATTATCAAAATTGGGGCTCTGAGCCAGACAACCGCGTTACCAACTAGTCCCCAGTCTTAGACGGAATTCAAGCATCAGAGCAGGGACTTGATCTTTGAGATGTCCCTTTGTGCTGAGATTCTGGGGAGAACAAGGACAGGAACAAGGAAAACCTGAAACTACAGGCCAGGAGATGTCAGACCTCTCTCCTGAGACCATTCATTCATTCACTCTGCCAAATCGAGGGCCTGCTCTGTTTGGGTCAGGCACTGAAAATAGGTGCTAGTATCTGCAGAAGTAAACAAAACAGAAAAAACTCCTGCTCCTATGGAGCTTACCCTCTAGTGAAGGAAAACTGGCAATAAAGTGACAAATAAGTAAAATACAGTTGAGGAGAAGGTGTGTTGTAGGGAGAAATTAAACGTGTAAAGGGATTAGTGCTGGGGTGGGGGTGATTTTAAATATAGTGGTCAGGCTAGTTGTCACCTGACCTTTGGAACAAAGACTTAGAAGAGTGGAGGGAGCAAGTCATTTAGAACTCCACATTCATTCATTCACCAAATATTTCTTGACTGGACACTGTATCAAGCATGGTCCTGCCACAGGTCTGAGTATTCACTTAAGCACTGCGGTTTTTCTAAATCCAGGTTTCCCTGGACTTATGGGGGTGTTGAGAGGGGCAGGGAGGGGAATGTAAGCAATTCTGTGGCTCTACCTAATACCATATTCTCCCATCCTGGGTGTTCAGTATTGTTAGGGGTTTAACTGTATCCTCCAAATTCATAAATTGATGTCTTAAGCCCTAGTATCTTGGAATGTGACCTTATTTGGAGATGGGGTCTTTACAGAGGTAATCAGGTTAAAATAAGGTCTTTAGGGTGGGCTTCATTCTATGTAACTAGCACCCTTACAAAAAGAGGAAATTTGAAAACAAAGACATCGGGAGAACATCATGTGAAGATGAAGACCGAGATAGGGGTGATGCAAGGCTAGGAACACCGAAGATTACAGACAGACCACCAGAAGGGGAGAGAGCCACCGAAGAGACTGTCTCTCAGCCCTCAGAAGGAACCGACCTTACCAACTTCTTGCTCTCAGATGTCTAACCTCTAGAACGGAGTACCGGATACATTTCTGGTGTTAGGCCCCCTAATTAAAGCAGCCCTAGAAAACTAATAAAAGTATATGATTCTGAGGTAAGATGGCATAGTTAAGTCCCATCTATAATTTTCCAGTGTCTTTTGTGCAATGGCAAGAAGTCAAAGGGATCTGATGAATTGAGATTTACTAACCAAATCACCACAAGAAAGAGCAAATTATGATGGTTTTTTTCAAGAATTTATTTTTTTTTGAGAGAAAGCAAGAAAGAGCACAAAGGGGTTTGGGAGAGGGAGAAGCAGGCTACCCCACTGAGCAGGAAGCGCAATGCAGGGCTGGATCCTAGAACCCCAGGGTTATGACCCAAGCCGAAAGCAGATGCCCAACCAACTGAGCCATTCAAGTGCCCCAGCAAATTATGTTTTCTAAAAAGAAAAGCCAAATGAAGGGCACCTGGGTGACTCAGTCCATTAAAGTGACTGACTCTTGATTTCAACTTAGGTCGTGATCTCAGGGTAATGAGATTGAGCCCCACATCATCAAATTGCTCAGCTTGGAGTCTACTTGGGATTCTCTCTCATTCACCCTCTCCCCCTCCCCACCCCGACTCACTAAGTAAATTAATTTAATTAAATTAAGCCAAATAAGCCCCAATTAGTCCATTTCTTCATCATCTATTTATTGAATGCCTGCTATGTACCAGGCAATGGATTACTGTTAAAAACAAGGCAGATGTGGCCATTGCTTTCATGTGACCTGTGTGTCTTGTTACAGGAAGAATTGGACAGTGAGCAAATCAACAAATATATGAACAAGGTAATTTCAGACCAGAGTAAGGGCTTAAAAGAAAAGAAAGCAAGGCTAGAGGATTAAAAGAATGGGGGATGGGTTTAGATGGGTTTAATTTAGGTTGGCTGCCCAGGGAAGGTCTCCATGAGGTAGTGACATATGAGCTAAGACCTCAGTGACAGAAAGCCATCCAAGCAAAGAGCTGGTAAAAACTGTTCTAGGCAAAGAAAACAATCCCTCTTTTAAAAAAAAAAATCCCTGCCATTCATTCCATAACACCCTTCCTTTCTGTCTTTAACATCCATTTTGCCTTTTGCATCCTTTGAGATAGTGCAAAATCAGTTAATGTCTGCTTCATAAAAATGGGGTCCAATTATTTACCTTCTTACGTAAGAACCAGTAAAGGTTGTGCCACCAGGGTTTTGCATGCACACTCACACTCACAAAACACCCTCTGACTCGCCTCTGTATTTGTAGATGGTGATACCACATGGCTTAGACATTGTGTTTATTTTCCTGATTTGTAGCATCTGTGGGGCACGTCCTGGTGATTAATCAATCCACTGATAGCTAACGTTCTAACTCGACGAGGCCCGTTTGTAAAATCCTCATATGATCAAGCGAAGCTTCGGTTTTAAAATTTGCACTTTGAACATAATTTTTACTTGGGAGACTCACAAGAATACTAACTACCATGAATGGGGGGCTTATGTGTGGCTCCTTATGCCAAGTGCTTCATGTGGGGTATTATCCTCACAATCCTGGGATGGAAGTTCTTGTATTTGTAACATCCATTTCACAGATGGGAAAACCGGAGCTGAAAAAAGGTAAAGTAGTATGCCTACAGTTGAAACTGCTATTTGATTGCAGACCGGGGCCTTGAGCCAGTCTCTTGAGCTTGGAGGCTCAGGCTGGGGCAGGCGAGCAGAAAGCAAAAAGCATTTGTATATCCCTTTGCATTTGTCTTTGAAATTTTCAAAGCACTGTTTTCTGACTTTTTTTTTTTTATTTACCCCAGCCCTCTAGCTTTCAAGTTCACTTTTCTAGGCAGATATTTGCTTTGCTTCCCCTTACTTCAAACTGGGAACTGCAAGAACTTTGATAAATGAAATGACTGACGTATTTTTTTTTTGTTTTCAGCTTGTTTTTCCAGCATCCTCTGAGGAAATGTGAGTCAAGCTTCTTGAGCTCACCCTGCCTTGTCAGACATCCGTATCTTGTACATTGACACTCCCCCAACACAAAGGGGGTTCCTCCCCTCACTCAAATACACCCCCTGCCAAACCAGATGCCCAGCACAATGTGCAAAGCCAGCTCTGGCCCTCTTTACGTGGATACTAATAGGTCCTCCTGCCTGAGAATGAACATCTAAAAATGGCTTCAGTCGGTCTTTGTGAATCACTTTCTATTCTAGTGGCTTCCCTACAGTCTTGGTCAGGGGGAAAAAGCCCGGGAAACTTGCAATGGTGAAAAGATGTGAGGTATCTCTCATCGGATCCCGGATTCCCCGCGCCTCACTTAGGAAGTGGGCAGCAATTTTAGCTGTTAAATGACTTCCTGCCTGGGATGGCGTGGTCAGGCTTGCTTTAAACTTCTGGAACCCAGACAAGGCGTCTGGCCGTTCGCTTTGGAAGGCTCAGGTGGGTTTCACTATCCTTTCCTTCACTGACCACAACCACTTCAATAATTTATGCCTTGCAAAAGAACAGCACTTCAGGGCCAATTAGCATAAGAAGGATTTATGAAACCACAGTAGGAAGGCATTTTTAGAGATCACACAAAAGCTGTTGCACGGAGCA